CTTGCAAGTTCAACAATATGTTTATTTTTCCTTTTAGCAACTCCATTCTGTTCTGGGGTCCTAACACAGGATTTTTGATGAATAACCCCTAAATCAGTAAGATAGCAGGACAAGTTTTTCTCAAAATATTCTTTTGCATTGTCGGATCTGAAAATTTTAATCCTGGTATCAAACTGGGTTAGGAAAAATTCATGGAATTGTCTCACAAGTCTTGGAACTTCATCACGGGACTTCATAAAAAATATCCAAGTGAATCGGGAAAAGTCATCAATGAACAAGATAAAATATTTGTATCCACCCATAGAGGGTCAATGATAAGGCCCCCACACATCAGAGTGCACAATATTAAAAGGAGAAGAAGATCTTTTATTACTCAAAGGATAACTGTTTGTATAATGATTTGACAGTTCACAAGACTCACAATGAAGACTAGACAAACTAATTCCCTTAAACAGTTCTGGGAATAAATGACTCAATGCAGAAAAGGAAAGATGACCCAAACGAAAATGACATAACATGACTCGACTAATAGACTCCTAAGATGTAGACCCAAAAGCATCTTTTTTAGGTTGTTCATGGCACTGTCCAGGAGTATCTAGCAGGTATATTCCATTCGCCTCACGGCCACTCCCAATCACCTTCTGAGACTCCAGATCCTGAAAAACACAGTAGGAAGGGAAGAAGGTTACACAACAGTTTAATGACTTAGTTAGGCTACTTACAGATAACARRYTTGTATTTWGTHTRRGTACATRAAGAGCAGAAGGAAGAACCAAGGAGTCTGTAGCCTTGATGGTTCCCTTGCCGGAGATAGGGGCAAGAGAGCCATTGGCTAGGGTGATTTTGTCACATCCAGGAAATCATATGAAACAAACAAAGTAGAAATGCTGGTCATATGATCAGAAACCCCAGAATCAATAATCCAAGGGATCCTACAATTACCTGAAATGGTTGCATGATTGGTAGAAGCCCGTATACCTGAATGAGCAAATGCAGAAGAGGTTAAGTTCTTTGAAGGGTTGGAAGAAGAGGCCACACCCTCTAGGTGACTAATCATCCTCCCAAACTTCTCATATTCAGCCTTCATAGCAGCTAATTGCACACTAGCCGACATCTCTTCAGTTTGGTACCTGTCAATATCTGAACTAGCAGCAACATTAGCACTCCCAACCCTTTTATTATCAAGCTTCTTCTGGAACCGAAGTGGTAGTAGCTCAGAATGCAATTTCCAGCACTTGTCTTTAGTGTGTTTTGGCTTTTTACAGTATTCACAAACAATCTTTTTCTTCCCTGATCTACTTGGAGTTCCTGCAACCCCCTTTGGTTTCATTCCCATATTAGCAAAGTGATCATTAAGACCAGCCCCTTGGACCTAGACAAGTCTCCTGCTTTCTTCACTACTTACCAAGGCATATGCCTGAGACAGTGAGACGCTATCCTTGGATAAAATATTTTGCTTTGTAATATCATACTCTGGATTTAGTCCTGTCAAAAACTCAAACACCCTATTTCTCTCAACCAATTTTCTGTAGGTCTCAGCATCATTAGTGGTGTCCCAAGTTACAGCTTCTATCAAATCTATTTCTTGCCATAAAGACTTCAGTGTTGAGAAGTATACARCTAATGGTTTCTCCCCCTGTCTYAAATTCTTCACATCACTTCTCAACTTGTAAGCTCTGGCCACATTTAATTTTTGGGAATAGGTTTCAACAATACTATCCCAAATTTCCTTTGCTGAGTTCATCCACAAATAGTGCTGACTAATTTGTGGCTACATTGAGTTTACAAGCCACCCAATAACAGTATAATTTTCTTGCACCCACTTTTCATATGATGGATCATCTTTCGAAGGAGCCTTTTTGCTTCCAGAAATAAAACTCCACTTGCCTCTACTACAAATATGAATCTTTACTGATTGTGACCAAGCCAGATAATTAGTTCCATCCAGCTTGGCTATGGTCACAACCAGTAGAGAGTCTACAGAGGCTCCTGGAACCTGTCCGGATTCAACAATATGTTTGTTTTCAATGTCTGATGGGTTCATCTTCTTAAACACCTCAAAAAGATTTCAAGTAACTTCAAAAAACACCAAATGAAGATAGAGCAAAAACTGTGTTGTGAGCCAGCCTTTATGCAGCCGTACCAGTAATCTGTGTCACACCCAGAAGTTGGGAGAAATAGAGAAAATTCAGCCGCTCCTTGTAGACTTCACAGAACACCAAACCACTTGATTCGATCTTCAAGAAGGAGAATAAGAAAGCCTTCAGTCACTGAGCGCCCAGGTCAAACTCCCTGTGGGGCCCGCATCTAGATTTCGGGCAACACCCCTGAATCTGTCAAGGGGGCGACAAAGTCAGTCCTCTTCTCTCCAGAAACCACTAATAACTGGGCTGAAAAAGGTGCCTTTAACTATTCATACGATTCAGTTCTCCATACACATTGTGTATGGGAAAAAAAAGGTGAAAAAGAAAAAAAAAAACAAGCCTGCTCTGATACCAAGAAGAAAAACAACCTTTTGAGTGGAAAAGGACTGTTTAGAAAGATGCAAAAAATCAAAAGAAAATAGCAGAAATCAGAATTCTAGAAGGGAGAAGATGAAGAAGGTGGTGGCAACTAGGGTTCAAAGAGAGAGATTTTCGAACATAATCTCTTCTCTTACACCCTTAATTCTATTTTATTAAGTTAAACTTTGGTAATTTATAGAGAAGCCCTTAGTTGGGCAGAAAATTAAATGAACATAACATAAGAAAGGATAGGCCCAGATTAAGGCCCATTATAGCAAAGAACATAAAAGATAAACAGCCTATGGGCCATTCGACCCATCTTCTCTACACACACCACCTCCCACTTCACAAGATGATTCTTCCTACTTTCCCTCGATTCCCAAAGGAAGTCCCTTGTTAACTTTTCTAGCTTCTTAGCTTCTCTAGAGGGAATCCTAAAGACTGACAAGAAATAAGTTGGTAGGTTAGATAGGGTGGCTCTAATTAGGGTAATCCTACCCCCCAAAGAAATATAATTCTTCTTCCAAGAAGCCAATCTCTTCTCAAACTTCTCTAATACCGGGCACTAGAAACTGCTTTCCTTGGGGTTTGCCCCTAAAGGAAGTCCTAGGTAGGTCATGGGCCAAGTAGCTATAGAACACTCTAAACACCCTGCAATCGCCTCCACCTCTCTATTATCCAAATTTATCCCTGCCACACTGCTCTTTTCAAGGTTAACTCTCAAATTGGACACACTTTCAAACCTTTTCACCAACAACTTTAGATTCCTTATCTTCTCCAGGTCCCCTCCTTCACCAAAAACTAAAATATCATCTGCAAATTGAAGATGGGTGACTGACACTTTAGTCTTGCCTGTTTTCTATTTTCCAACCATTTACTAAATTCTCCCTATCAGCCTTCGAGATCGTTCTACTTAGCACATCAATTAACAAGGTGAAAAAAGGGCAAGAGAGGGTCCCCTTGCCTTATTACTCCTACAAGCTGGGAAAAAAATCCTTTTCCACCCCTAACTCACACAACCAAAAATCCACTAGCAGTCTGGCACTAAGTTTCTCCAAAACCTCACTTCCTCAAAACTTGTAAAAGGAAATGCCAATCCACTAAATCATAGGCCTTTTCTAGTTCAAGCTTGCAAACAAATCCCTTCTTTTTGGATCTTATTTCTCCCAGGCATTCATTAGCTACCAAGATTTGGTCTGTAATTTGCTTCTCTTGTATAAAAGCCCCTTGGTATTTTCTGATTAGGGAAGGAAGAACCTCTTTAATCCTCAAAGACAACACCTTAGCTAAGATTTTGTAGATACTAGTTGCCATGCTTATTGGTCTAAAATCCTTAGGGAGGATAGCATTAACCTTCTTAGGGACAACCAGGAAAGTAGCATTGACTCCTGGGCTTACTATATGATTGTTTGCAAACTCTCTAAACACCTCACAAAGATCTTCTTTAAAAGTCTTCCAGCAATCTTGATAAAAGGCCATTGTAAAATCACCTAGGCCTGTCGCCTTAGACCTATCCATCAAAAATACTGCCCTTCTAATCTCATTTTCTTCAAAGTTTCTTTCCAACCAGCAAGCATTTTCATTTCCCAATCTTGGACAATCCAATCCTTCCAGTGTTTTCCAAACACCCACTCATAGTACCTTAGGTCTAACTCAAGCAATTGAGATAGACTACTACATTTCGACAGTACAAGAGTGTCACCTTGGCATGATAAACTCCCCAAGTTTATCAATTGGCTGAGAACATTTTAAGTTAACATAAGTCTCATAAATGTCTAGCTTAAGGGGTATCACACAGAAACATACCATATACACATGAAACAATAATGAATTGGATTTATTCAACAACAAATATCAGTTTACATCATTCCTGTTGGAGCTGAGGGCATACATTGCCTAACACTTATGATATGGCCCAGGCATTAAGTTTGTTCTCTTGTGTCTCACTTAATGATTCAGGAATGAGTGAAAGGGAGTGAACAGACAAGACTTATTGCATTACTCATCAAAAAAGAAAAAAAAAAAGATTCAGGAATGAGTGGGCACCCATCATTTTTTGGTTTTTATTTTAAGACTGATGACATATAGTTATATATTTTGATGTTATATCTGTACTTACTTTTTGTACAGTTTGAGGGTATCTTGCCTTCCTTTATAGTAATACAATTTCCTTTTATCAGTTATAAAAAAAAAGAACTATAACATATTCAAAAATAAAGAAAGGCTATCATCTAATGTGTCCCAACTATTTGGAGTCTTTGGTAGGATGGACTGGATATCGATATCACCTTTATTCAAAAAGGAAAAAAGAAAATGATGATCCTAAATGAATACTTTTGGACATTAGAAGGAACATGTTGAATAGTTCCACAAACCACCTTCAGTTCATTTGCGTTCTATATAAATCTATGTTCTTTTCTAGAATAAATTTTGGGGTGCTGTTTTTAGGTTCAATGACCAGTAAACTGGAAAATCTAATGTGCATTTATTTCATAGGCAAGTTTTTGTATAAGAGGGAGAGACCTTCTGTACAAGTATTGCTCTGAACATGGGGTCCCTCATACACGAGTCGGTAAACTCATTGTTGCTACTGGATCCTCAGAGATTCCGAAGTTGAATGACATTCTGGATCGTGGGATAGAAAATGGGGTTAAAGATCTGAGGATGATTGAAGGTTCTGATGCTATGCAGATTGAACCAGAACTGCAATGCGTGAAAGCAGTAATATCACCTTCTACTGGGATAGTTGATACCCATTCACTCATGCTATCTTTAGTGGTATGTAATTTCTTCTTTCTTCTTTGGATTGGTTTGTGTCTTACCCTATAATGGCTCATCAAGTAGATTTTGTTTTTTCCTATAAAAGAAAAGAAAGCTTTTTTAAGACATCAAATAGATGTGTTTGACTTATTCTCTTCCAGTTTACAAATGCTAGGGTAATTACTTCATATTAACAGGGATGCTCATGGCAATGTGGATCCAGGGGGATGCTGAGAATCATAGAGCAAATTTCTGCTACAATACTACTGTTATTGGAGGCCATCTTGAAGATAATCGCATGTTTCTCCATATTTCTGAAAGGAAGGATCTTGAAAACTGCATTAGCAAGTCTCCACTTCTCCCAGATCTTATCCTCATCCCCAGGCTTGTAGTGAACTCTGCAGGTTTGAGTGCTCCATTCCTTGCAAAAAGATTCAGTGGCCTTTCACCTGGCATTGTTCCTGCTTCTTATTTTGCTCGTGGTTGCTACTTCACGTTATCAAATGTTAAGACTCCTCCTTTCAAACATTTGATTTATCCTATACCTGAGGATGGTGGCATTGGAGTCCATGTTACACTGGATTTGGATGGCCATGTCAAATTTGGCCCAGATGTAGAATGGATCACAGACATAGATGATGCATCTATCTTTTTGAATAAGTATATTTTATATCTTTTTTTCTTTAAATCTTTTTATTATTAATATTTTGGGATTTCTAGCATTTAAAAAACATATTAAACTGGTAAGGAGCCAGATATTTTCAATTATATTTAACTGTTGTCTTCTGAGATCAAACATGCTGCTGCTACTGCTACTGAAAATAACTAGGATTGTCAGGCTTTCTTTTAGACAGCTAGCTGTTTGGTGTTAACAAAAATGCATCCATACAAAGGAATAAGCAGATACATGTTCATAAAGTTTCTCCCAGCTGCTTCAATTGATCAACACATTTGGGTTCATACAATTGACCCCAAATGGTTGGATTGAAGCTTTGTTGAGTAGATTCTTTCTAGGATTATCAGACTTTCTCATAAGAACCTAGTTGTTTGATGTTTAACAGAAATGCAACTGTGCAAATGAATAAGCAGATACATGTCCATAAAGTTTCTCCCCCCATCTTTCTTTGCCTTACACACCCAATCCCATCTTACCAAATGGAACTTCTTTTGTGCTACTTTTACATTCCAATCCACAAAAACTCCCTCTGAAGCCTTTCAATTTCTTGACTCACCACTGCCAGAACCTTTAGTAAAGACAAATAGAAGAATGTGGTGCTTCTGTCCGGACTCCCAAGAGGTGGTGATTGATCCAGACAGGGCCGATGCAAGGTGGTGAAAGGAAAGCATAAATGGCAAGTTTTCAGTCAAAGGAAAGCATAAAGGGCCGATCCATTGGAGGTGTGTGGGGCAATCCAATTCCTCCTAGAGTTGAAGCTTTTGCGTGGCTGGAGGCAATGGATAGCATTCTTACTCAAAGACCATTTGAGGAGAAGAGGTTTCTACTTGGTAAATAGATGCATTCTTTGCAAGTCGGAATCTGAAGATTTTATGCACTTAATGGTGGACTGTGTATTGTAAGGTGCATTTGGTTCTTCTTCTTTCAACTGTTTAGGGTGGGGGGATAGGATCCTCAGTCGCCTAAGGAGATCTTTGAGCAGTTGCCAGCATTTAATGGGAATAAGAAGGCAAAAATGATGTGGAGCTGCATTCCTTTTGCAATCTGTTGGGAGGTGTGGAAAGAGAAGAATAGAAGAATTTTTAATGATAAAAAGAAGAGCAAGGAGTGGCTATGTGCTTCCATTGGCTGGAGGGTATTGGATTGGTTTTTGGTTCTTCCAGAGTTTGAGGGATCCAAGAAAAAAGATTTTGGCTCTGATTTATGGATTTCAATAAACAGCGGTTAATGGGGTTGTTTGATCTTGTTCTTGTTTCATTTGATGGGTTGTTTTCTTTGTTTCAGTAGGTGATGCCTTATCACCTGGAACCCTTGTGTCTCTTTCTTATTTAATAAATTTTCTTCTTTATTTATCTTCAAAAAAAGTTTCTCCTAGCCACTTCAATTGATTAACACGGGTTTTGAAGTGCTAAACACATGGATTCATATAATTGACTCCAAATGGTTGGTATCAAGCTTTGTTGAATTTAGTCTTAAGGTTTTTTGTTCTTAAAGCCGAAAAGAAGGATTTCAAATTTTCAACTAGAAACTGTTCTTTCTACTCCCAAAAATTGATAGTGATACAATGAATAAAATACCAAGTTGTGAGTGTTGAGTTTATATGAGAGGATTATTTTTTTATAATCAGGGGTATCTAAGTATCTTTCTTCATCAATTTGTAAACCTAGAAATCTATTTGACTGAGGGCAATTCATTCTCACACCAGTTTTCTATCTTCCCTACTTTTTTTTTTATTTTCTCTTTTGACTCTCAAATATTCACCTATTTAATCTTTTGTTAATCAACTTGGTATTAGTTTAAACATTTATTCTCACACCACTTTTCAACCCGCAGTCAAACTGACCTGTTGGTCTGGTTAACCCATCACTGGGCCAGAATTCCAGGTCTGTTTTAGTACCAAACTGCTTGCCTGCAAAAAACTGTTGATCCAGTCAACAACTCGGTGACCCAACCTTTCACTGCTAAACCATTCAAGGATCAAATATTAATTCTCATGTCTGGTTTTTGAATTTTTAGCCATTTCTATCATGTTTGGAATGGACAATTGGAAACTGTTCTACCATTCAGTTTTATGTTTACTATCTTTACTCATTTTTCCTTTAAATATTAGTTCTTTTCTCTCCACTTTTATAGTGCCTCAGATCACATGATTGGTATATTTTCATTCTCTCGTTCCTATCAGTTGAGCTCTGTGCCTGTGCCAAAAAACGAAGTCACTGTAGTTGATGACTCCTTGTTCCTATTTCAGGGAAGGGTGATATGATGCTTAGTTATTGTATTTACCTTGGTTGTGTCTTCCATGATTCCCTGTTAACTACCAACTTTTCTGTCGGTAGCTTAACCAAGAAACTAAATTGTTGTTTAATATTCTTTCCCAATGATTGTGTCCTAGTCATTAGAGAAGCTCCTTTTCCTTCTGTCTTTCTTTTTATCTTCTTAAAACCCATGTATCTTCAATGTTTTAATGATGAAGTCCTTGAGAAAAGCATAAATTCTATATAAAATATGTGATAGGATGTATTAACACACATAATAGCAATATGTAACCATGATAATAATATCACAAGAAGGTGCACTGCCTTGTGATTTTTTGTCACCTTGGTGAGCACATTTTTAATATAAGCAGTGGACACTTAGGCAAGGCACCCAACCGAGAGCACTTTGTCACCTAGGCAATGGCTTAACAACTATGCCTGAAGGCAACTTGGTATGAGTTGTTTTAGATTTGAAAAGGCATACCCAATGTTAGTCCCAGCTATCTAGTGTCTTGGGAGGGGTGGACTGGAGACGGGCCTAAATGAATGTTTTCGAAATAAATGAAATGGAGACTTGGTTGCATTGGATAAATTTCCTCAGGATTCTATCTTTCCAACACACCTGAGATGTTCTTTTTTCTTCTTATTTTAGCGTTAGCTTTATCAATAAAAGTAAACTATTATTGTATTTGTTTCCTTTCCTTAAAATATTCCTGGAACGAGCATTGCTTAATATAAATTTCCATGTTGGCTAGAACATAGTAGGTGCAGAATGTTTCTTTCACATAAAAATAAACAGTAAAGTTGAAACTTCATCTTGGTGTTTCCTTCTTCTTTTTCTCTTTTTTGCTTGCAAAAGATGATTAAAATATTTTCACCATTATGTATATCCAATTGAAACTGACCTAGTTTTTGCAAATCTATCTGTTTTTCTTTTTCCAGGTTTGATTATTCCGTTCATGCTGATCGTGTTGAGAGTTTTTATCCAAAAATAAGGAGATATTATCCTAACCTTAAGGATGGATCTTTAGAGCCAGGATATGCAGGAATTCGACCAAAGCTCTCTGGTCCTAGACAACCTCCTGTTGATTTTGTTGTACAGGTTCTCTTGCAGAGTCCCTTTTTACCTTTAAATCAGTTTTTTTTTGTTCTTTTTTTTGTTTTAGATAAGTAACTTTTTTTCCCTCTGGGGTTCTAGTTTCTAAGCATTATTTATATGGACCATTTCTGGCTAAATAGATATTATTGTGCCAGTGGAAGAAACAAAGTTGATCCAAGACAAAACACACCTTGGTAATTATGGTCATATATGACCTTAATCAAATTACATGAAATGGCCACAATGCATATGGATAATGTCGGGAGAATTTCTTTGATTAGATGGTTATGGTCATGAAATGAGTCAAATTTGGTGTGGGAGATATCTAGCTCAAAGTACAATACACATCACAAATTTGGAACCTTTTCCTTTGTGCAGGTCATGTAAATAATAACTTACATTAGGGCTATCAATATGTCATATTTTGACCATATGTACCTAGATCCGGATTTGATTTCATTACATAGGATCATAAGATTCATTTCTCATAGTGAAGAAAAATGAAGAGTTTTGAGGACTCTGTCCAACAACAGTAAGTACTTGAATGCTGCATCATATTTTTAAAATCATAAAATTAGTAAAACAGAAAGCTTTTATTGTACCTGTATCATCCTTTACCTTTTATGGTTAGGAGAAGGATCACATTCCATTGGTACCCTCAGAATCAGATCAGAACTTCATAGTGAATAATGAAATATCAAATTGGGTAGCAGACTAGCAGTGAAGTTCCATTTACACTGAGGGTAAATGAAAGTATCTGACCTCAAAAAGGAAATGGTAGTTGTGTCATGGATCTGGAAAAAGGGAATAAGGAAAAGTTCAAAAGAAAGCATTTGAAACATAGTAAGCACAAGTGAAGGTAGAATACTAGAATTCAAACTGATATTAATAAGAAGGTCGTTAGGCCCTAAGTTGACAACTGTAGATTGAAAATTAGAAGTGTAATTATTAATGTCTACCTCACGGGAAACTGGAGTGTGTATTGGTGTATTGTATTGCTATCATTTGTTAGTATTACCTAAACAACTCTAATGAATATCCTTTTACTGATTTGGATCAAGGAACCAGTGTGTTTTCCCAGTTTTATTCTATATGGTGACTGACTGTGCACCTTTGGTGCATAACAGACAGTATTACACTGATACACAATATATACATGCGGACTCACCAGAACTAAAAGCACTAGATACTTTCATCTACTTTTACCTTCACCAGATTTCCCGCTAAGCATCCATCCATCCTGTTCCTTGCGACAAAATTCTAAATAAATATCCAGGAAATTAATTGATCAACCATTCACGAGGTAACATGCTGAAGCTGATCCAGGATCCTTCTCTTTGCTCTTTCTTTCTTATGAGAGCAGAGAGCTTGAATACAGTGAAATGAGGAAATTTTCCAGGCACAATTAAGTTTCTGATAACAAAATGGTGCATATCATTTAGCTTTGATATATTCTCTCGGGTGCAATAATTGGTACTCAAGACAATTGACTAAACTGTCTTAGTCAACTTTCCATTTCCCTGCACCAATTGAAGCTACTTCTAAGTTTGTAAAATGCATTTATTTATATTTATCATTGTAATCTTGCTTCTATTCGTCTCAGTATTTATATTCACTACAACCATAAAAATGTTTAGGCAAATACCATTAGTTACAACCATAAAACAGTTAACAGAGATCTGTCGCAGTATGTCATGTCACTAATGAAACCAACATCACTTAGTAGATGGTTGTATGGTACTAGTTCAGCCAAATTTGTTTGAAATGTTACTAGATTCAACCATTTACTTCATTTAGGTTATGGTTTGTAGTCTTCAGGGGGGCATCTAGGGTCCTTAAATTTGTTCTTTGACTTTGATTACTTGGGCATTCTTCTTTCTGATATGATTGACAATAAGACCACAGAGACAACTTAAAGGATATATTGCCTGTTTCAATGGATATATTTGACTTTATATCATATATCTTGTGTTTGTCCATGTGCACATGTGACTTTATTTAGACCACTGTCCTCCAGTTTAAATTATATGAAAGGTGTATTTTGTTAAAGTGAATGGAGCCAACTGGCAAGCCGTTCAACACACTTGTCATCAGTAATTTTCCTAAATTATGTAATTTGATTTCAAATTTCATATTAAACAAAAAAATATACATGAAGAATCTGGTTGTTAAGGTGGTTTCTTGGATTACTTTTCTTAGTGATTTTGCACTGTCACCCAAAGCACTTTTAAAGTATTGCATTTGGTAACAAGTGATCAAGAAAGAAAACAATGACTTAAAACTGTTTTTGATGCTCCTCCTTTTCTATTTTGTTCCAAATCCAGATATACATATGTGTTGAAATTGTTTTCCCTTTCATATTATTTTTCTCAGAAAAAAGAAACACTTTTGCAGGGTGAAGAGATCCATGGCATACCAGGTCTTGTAAACTTGTTTGGAATAGAGTCACCTGGTCTAACTTCAAGCCTGGCAATTGCTGAGCACGTAGCCGCCAAGTTTTCAAGATAGTTCAGTTTTCTCATGCTCATGCTACTTGAAGGAAGCTAAGATTATCCTTTCTTTGTATATAGTTTTCTGTGGCAGTTGCAATTTTCCTTCTCTCTCCTGCTTCATGTATTCAAGGTGATTTTTTGTGATAATGGTTATATATTGTCTTTATATCCATTGGCCAAGTTCAGTTATTTGTTTCTGATTGGTTTGCACCAATGGAACTGGTGATACGTACAAATATGCTTTTTAGGCTAAGTTTGGAAGGAGTAGAAACACAAATATGTAGAGTGCAAAATCTTGTATTTTTTATTATTTTGTATCTATTTGCACTGTACATATTTGGATTACTCCTTCCAAACTGAGCCTTGAGTACCTTTGATGATCCTGCGTCATGGCCCAGTTTGGAAGGAGTACAAAACTACAAATACAAATATGTACTTTACAAATACATAAATATTACAAAATATAAGGTTTTGCACTCTACAAATTTGTATGTGTAATTCTTCCAAACTGAGCGAGCCTTAAGCACGCTTTGGTCCTTGGAATAGTCCATCTCCATATTGTATCCCAGCCTCTTGAGTGATCAACACATGGCACATCTGGGGTGATCCAGTTTTGGTACCATTTTACTCGGTGCTGGTCTCTATCGGCTGTATTTTTATTTTTATTTTTATTTTTTTGGTAATGCTTCCTCTTAAATTTAGAATTTTCTCGTCTAGCCTGTTAGCCCTACTTATTATTTTTTCTAGTTAGAGTCTGATTGGTTCGTGGGAATAGGGATCTAGAGTCAGAATTAGAATATCGAGCTGTTTGGTTGAGTAGAATTAGAATCTGATTCCCATTTCTAATGGAATGGTATTCTTTCATTGGGGGAATGGCCATTCCCTCCCTCCCTTGGGAAAAAATAATCTCATTCCAGTCAATTCCCATATGAACAAAAAAAGGTGGGGGAATAGACTATTCTGACTCCTATATCTAGGGATTTTGATTTCAATTATGAATCAAATGGACCCTTAGTTCTATTCAAGGTTTTTAAAATCAAATCGGATAATGAACCAGTCAGGGGTCTGGTTCTCGGGTCGAACGGTCTGACCGTTTGAACTGAATGGATGGCCTATTTTGATAAAAAAATTTAAAAAATAAGAAACAGGCAAAATCATTGGACGGTTCAAATGGTTTGACTGCCTAGGTCAGTGGTTTGCTGACCAAATCAACAGTTTTTGACGAAATAACGGTCCTGGGGTAAAACAGTTTTGTTGTATCCCCATTATTGCAACTCTTTCAAAACCATAATTAGTGCTATCTCATTATATTTGTTGCAATATTCTAAATTTTACCCTATAATAAATTGTAATTCAAACACAGAATTAGTGTTCTTTTTTGGTAATTCGGAATTAGTGTTGTGTTCAATCATAAATGCAAGAACATTATCATTATACCACGCTATATCATTTGCTAATACAATGTAGGTTTCAATGCTTTTTCTTTAATCCAATTTTATGAACTTTGCAATCAGCTTTTAAGTTTTAATAAAATTTGTGTTCATTTATCTTCAAATTCTTAGTTCTTCACAGTTCACATTTCACATAATTACTAAAATGTGTTTATTATGTATCTTTATTTTTAATCATTTAAGCCATAGTTTTAATGTTATTGGTGCATTTATGGGATTTACATGTTTCCTTCAAAGCAATTTTAGGGTATATATTATAATATGTTTTGAATACACATGGATATGGTAGAAAAATCTGAATGCACTTTCATAAATACCATAATACATTAAGGAAACTTTCATAAATCCCAGATACGTAAATGATACTAAATCTAAGGTTAAAATAACGATAAAAAGGTTAACATAACAATTTATATGAACTGTAAACTACAAAGATACTATTAGGGAATATTTGGTAACGGACGGAGACCCAAGTATTAAAGATAAAAGAACATAAATTTTATTAATACTTAAAAATACTAATGTCAAAGTTTATAAAATTGTAAAATTGGATTAAAGGTTAAAAGTGAAAAACTTGTGTTATTTAAACAAATATAGTATGGTATGGTGTTAAGGTTTTTGCATTTCACATAGGAACTTGGGCTTAACTCTATACACCTGCATGTAATTTGATTTTTTACATTAATTGTACATTTGAATTAGCACTAATTATGGGTTAGAATTTAGATCATTGCAATAAATATGAATTTAATTTGGTACTAATTATGTTCATCAACTAAGAGTTATGATAATTAGTTGCAATAACTAGGGATGGGTGAGAGTTTTTCAAATTTGACAATGAATCGATATGCATCCAGGAACCATGGAATAACATGAAAACCAAACCATTCCAACCATGGAATAGATCTCCAGTGGTTACATTTTCGTTTTGGCATGAAATGACTTTTCTTTTTTTTAAATGACTGAATTTTCAGTTCTTTATGCCATTTTTTTTTGTAAAAAAGTTACCTACTAAATAGGTTAAATGACATAGCGGCCTCTTAAATTTCTATTTATAGTGATTCAAGGCTAGAAGAATATATACCGCTACATCCACCAGTTAAGTGGTGAGAGCAGATTCAGTCTTCACAAAATTGTGTTCACACCGTTCCTACAGTCCTTTTCAGTCGTGTACTGGGAATATCTCCATACTTCTATCTTTTTATACATAGGGAGATGTTCTCAATCTCAATACAAGACTGAAAAGGGCTGTGAGAATGATATGAGCACAATTTTGTAAGCACCAAATCCGATTTCTTAACTGGTTGAGAATGGTAACATATGAATCTTCTAGGTATAGATTAGGCTCATTTGGTTTTTGAGAACCCTGAGCAAACACACTGCATTGATGTAATTTAATTTGAACAGGATGGTTAATATCGTATAATTTAAAATTATAAACTAGCATGTATAGCATCTAAAGTTGGTAAAATGTGTTCCCTTAGATTGATTAATTTCTTTATGGAGATAACCAACATAATTAGCTTTTTCTGCTGTATTAATTATTTTGGTTAGAATCAAATTAAAGGAAAGACCTCACTGAAACCCACCTCAGAAATTTTAACTCCACTGTACACTTAAAACAATTTAAAAACTTCCAACACCCCACCTAAACACCGATACCTTTATTGGCATCAATTCCCCCTATCACTGTTCCCCAAATGTATGGTGGAATTAAAGTTTATTAGGCTCAGTTTGGAAAGAGTACAAATGCAAATATGTACAGTGTAACTACATACAAAATAATACAAAATATGAGGCTTTGCACTCTATATATTTGCATTTGTACTCATTCCAAACTGAGCCTTAGAAACAAGGACTACAAACAAATTAATGTAAAAGCTAGTAAACAAGACATAAAATATTATCCTTCAACAATCCAATTTTTCCATTCTTCAAACCATTGTGTTATTATTTTTAGGGAGAATTCCCAATTAGTACCCTATATTTTGGGCCTACTGCCACTTTGGTTCCCAAACTTTAAAATGTGACAATTCAGTACCCAAATTTTCAAAACGTGACAATCCAGTACCTGTTGTTAACCAGCTATTAAGTGGCATTTGAAAAAGACATAAGTGCCCTTCAAGTGTCATCTAATTTTCTTTATCAACCATCTAAACATTGACAAAAAATTAACAGCCCCAAATCCTTGTCTCTTCTATTCAAGAATGCTCACTCAAACTTTACTCCAACTTTCTTGAATGGAAAATGCAAGGATTTGGGGCTGTTAATTTTTTGTCAATATTTGAATGGTTGATAAAGAAAATTAGATGACACTCAAAGGGCACTTATGTCTTTTTCAAATGCCACTTAACAGCTAGTTAACAACAGTATTATTATGTTTTGAAAGTTTGGGTACTGGGTTATCGCATTTTAAAGTTTGGGGACCAAAGTGGTAATAGGCCCAAAGTACAGGTACTAATCGAGAATTTTCCCTTATTTTAATTTTGAATACATCACATGCAATGCATTTGCCTTTTACTAGTATTATTTAAAATAACGGTTTATTTTATTCCTTAAAACGTAAGACTTTTACCAAGAATTTGTGTAATGTTTTCCCAATTTCACTAGACTAAGGGGCCATTTGATAACAAGTTATTGAAGTGAACGACTTATTGTTGTTATTATTTTTTTTATGAATATATTGTTATTATTATTAAGCTTTTCAGTTCAGAAAAATCAGCCGGCCCCCAAGTCATGATTCATGATAATTGGTTATTTTAAGCCTCTAGAGGTATCTAATATAAAGAGCCAAACCATTAAACCATTAAGTTGATTAGATCCTTTCTACTTTACATTGACAAAATATTTAGAGATGCCAAGTTTACACTTTGAAGCAAGTTTTTGAACCATTGTTGATCCGGACGGTCAGACCGTTCGGCCCGAAAACCATTCAAGCAACCGATTCCATTTCACCCCTAACCCGTCTTTGGGTCAAAAATCGTTGACTTTGTCAAAAAACCGCTGACCTGGGTGGTCGAACCATCGATTTATTTGACTCGGACAGTGGTTCACAGGAGAAACTCTTACTCTTTGAGTTTGAGATCTGATATACAAAGAGAAGAAGAAGAAGATGCAGAGATGAGAAAAAGTTTCATTAGAAAAAAATGAAAAAATCGACCTCAGATCTGAGATCTAAGAACTCGTATCTCAGATCTCAAATCTATGATCCGCGTTAGTATTGCTGTCACCGGTGAACATCAAATGATTCTCCTCCTCTTTCTTCTTCTTCCTTCTTTCCCTCTTTACCTCTTTCCCTCTTTCCCTCTTTCTTTCCATCCTTTTCTTTCTCCCCTTTTTCCTTCCTTTCTTTCCTTCTTTTCTTCTTTCTCAGCTGACAAAAACTATCTTCTCCACTTCTCTTTTCTCATATATAAGCATATATAACTACCTGCTAGTTTGCCCTAATGCAAACCACCCGAACGATCGAACCGCTAACCTAGAAACCAGTAGCTAGAACAGTTCCATTTCCGGGTTAGTTTTTAATAGCTTGCTTTGAAGAGTCCTACACTGATATTTTTAATGCAAGCCATTGGAACTGATTGGTATTATACTTCTAGAACATCGAAGAAACACACTTTTTTTTTTTCTGGATTTTGAGTGGGGAACCAAGAAACCAGAAACCAGTAGCCAAAACAGTTCCATTTCCGGGTTAGTTTTTAAAAACTTGCTTTGAAGAGTCCTACACTGATATTTTTAATGCAAGC